ATATTTTTTAAAAAAGAAAAGAAAGATAAAGAAGTAAAGATGGGGAAAGACAGGAGATGCTCATCACTCATCAAATGTATGTATTAAACCTTTATGTATACCAGAAAAACAAGTACATATAAGATTTTGGCCAAGAGGAATATGCACTATGAAGAATACATAGCACCCTGGCTGGTGTAGCTCAGTGGATTGAGCGCAGGCCTGCAAGCCAGACAATCGCGGTTCGATTCCCAGTCAGGGCACATGCCGGGGTTGCAGGCTGGTTCCCTGCAGGCCAGTTCCCAGCAGGGGACCCACGAAAGGCAACCATACATTGCTATTTCTCTCCCTCTCTCCTTCCCTTCCCCTCTAAAGATAAATAAGTAAATAAAAATCTTAAAAAAAAAGAATACATAGCAAGATGTAAAGTATGGAAAATACCATATGATTTCACTTATTTGTGGAATCTGAAGAACAAAATAAAGAAACAAAATTGAAAAAGACTCATAGCCACAGAGAGTAAACTGCTGGTTACTGGAGGGGTGTGGTTGGGGGATGGGTGAAAGGAGGGAAGGGATTAAGAAGCACAAACTGCTGGTTATGAAATAGTCACGGGATGTAAGTAAAGCATAGGGAATAGAGTCCATAATGTGTGGTAACTATGTATGGTGTCAGTTGGGGTCGTGAAAATGTTGAGGGGAACACCGTGTTAAACATATGATTGTCTCATCCACTAAGCTGTACACCTGAAAACAATGCATAATAAAATTGAAAGAACAAAAAAAGAAGAATTGAGAGAGCACTTCAGGTGGGAGGTCGGGGAGGGTCTCTGTGAGGAGGTGACACTTAGGCTGAGATTTGAAGGGTAAGAAGGAGCAGCAATAGAGGGAGATGTGGAGAAACTGCCTTCCTGGCTGCGACAGAGGCCTTGGGGCTGGACCGGACATAGTGCCATCAGTGCCCAGGAAGTGCTTGTGGCTGGTTTGCAGTGAGTGACAGCAGGGTGACAGATGAGGTTGGAGAGGCCCAGGTCACAGCCATAGGTTTTTGCCATGCAGCTGAAATTCTGTTCATCCCTCCTCAGTATTCCTATTGGTGTTTGGCTTTTATTTCAGCCACAGTTACTAGTTTCATTGGGCCAGCATCTGTGGTGTGCCCTTTACGCACATTATCTCATTTAATGCCCACCACGGGCCTAGGACAGCTCAGGCTGAAAGTAACATTTCTTGGTTAATTCAGTTGATGACCTGATCAGTTTTCCCAGAAAGACAGCCAGAGCTAATGGGCTGCCCACATGTCTCAGATGGTATTGTCTCAGTGAGTGGGATAAAGCCCCAGGAGTTTCCTCTCCCTGACATCTCACGTTGTAGAAGGAGATCAAAGAGTCCAGGATTAAAGCCGGGTTAATGGGTTCCAGTTTCTATTGAGGGCTGACGAGGCTGGTGTGTAGTTTTGATTAACAAGTCACTCAGTAAGACACAAGAAAAAGCTCAAATCCAATTTTGCACAGAATCCTCTAGGGAGCTGGAAGAAGAGCTAGAGAGGAGAGAGACACTGAAGATTTTTGTGTACCTGATCTCAGCTGCTAACTTCACTCCACCATTAATTACAGAGCATCTACAGTGTTTCAGGCCTGGGAGGGGCCGCAGCTTCGCTTCTTTTGGTTAAGCATGAGAATGAGCTATACTGTACATGCAAAAAAATACAAAGGTCTTTGTTCCTTCTTGGTTAGAGCTCACAATCTAGATGAGGAAATAAAAATAATGATATCTGTTCCAAAGAAAAATCAAACAACTGGTGGTAATGGGGATGCTCTTTGATATTTTAGATCAGTTGGCCAGGGAAGCTCTCTCCGAGGCCGGACATTTGATTCCTGAGAGATGGGAGAGAGAGAACGAGGCAAAGGTTTAGAGGAAGAGATTTCTAGACAATGGCACAGCAAATCGGCAAAGGTCCCCAGGCCATCTTCAGCTTGGTTCCTTTGAAGGATACAGCAAGAAGGGATATAGTAAGTAGAAGGGAAGGAGAGAAAGCAAAATCTAGAGGTGAGGTCAGGTCACATAGGGCCTCGTGGGCTGTGATAAGGCTTCTCAAAGTTTACTGTAACATAGAGGGAAGTCACAGGTGAGTTCCCAGGAGCAGAGTGAGCCTCCTGTTTGTAAAAGGGTCATCCTAGCTACTCCGTTTCTACCATGGTGCTCCTGGTGTGCAGGCACATTAAAGGGTTCTGCAACATCATCTTCCCCTCTAGGAACTTCCACTTCTGTCAAAGAGACAGGATGGGAATTCAACTATATAAATACTGCATATCAGCTGCAGTATTTTTTTAAAAGGACTATTCATAGCAACATTACTCACAATAGCCAAAAGGTGTAAATAATTCAAATATCCATAGATGGATGAATGGATAAACAAAATGTGGTATATACTTACAATGAAATATTATTCAATATTATTCCATCTTAAAAAGGGATGAAATTCTGATACATGATACAACATGGATGAGCCAGAATTTAAGCTAAGTGAAATAAGCCAAACAGAAAAGGACAACTATTGTAAGATTCCATTTATAAAAAGTACCTAGAATGGTCCAATTTATAAAGACAGAAAGTGGAATGATGGTTACCAGCAGGGTTTGAGAGGAGGGGCGCTGGGGAGTTAGTGTTTAATGGGGACAGAGTTTCAGTTTAGGAAGACGACAAGTGCTGCAGATGGACAGCGGTGGTGGCTGCAGAGCAGTGTAGAAGTACTTGTGCCACCGAATGGTTAAAACGGTAAGTTTATGTCATGCATAGTTTACCATGATAAAACAAACATTTTTAAAGACATAGGGTATGGATTAGGGATAGAAGAGTGGGCAGTGGAGGCAGAGATAGTGGCGAAGGCCCAGAGAGGGGCATGTGCCTGGTGTTCTCTGATGAACTGCAAGAAGGCCCACGGGTTGGGGCATAGTGAAGAGAGTAAAGGGTGAGGGCCATCCATATACAGCCTTGTAGGATCTTGTAGTTCTTCGCTGAAATCCAGTGGGAGGTGGAAAGCCACTGGGGAGACTTGAGCAGAGGGTGATGCTCTCAGACCTTTGTTAAAACAAGGTCATTCTGGCTTCTGCTTTCTTCACTTTGAGTCTCATTTGCAAAAGAAAATCAGAAAAGCATTTATCTCACAGAGTAACTGTGAGCATTAACAGAGGTAATGCATGTCAAGAGTTTAATGTGGCGCCTGACATGGCATTCAACAGAAGGCAGGCATTACCATGACAGAGGTCAAAAGCAAGCAAGCAGCTCCCTGAGAAGTTTTGGAGGACTTCATGAAGGAGATGAAAGTTCAAATAGACATGGGAAGATGTACGAGAGTACCACTAACATAGGTGGGAAAGTGGAGAGGGCTTTCTGGGTGGGAAGAACTAAGTGGTCAAGGAAAGCAGCCAGCAAGTGGTCAAGGCAGAGGAAGAGAGAATGTCTGATCATCCCCAGCAGGTCACAGTGAGAAGTGTGGGTTCTAGAGCCCAGGAGATGGGAACTTTGCAGGTTTTGTAGCAGGTGTCAAGATCTATGTGCTTGGCCATAAAAATCAAGATCTATGTGCTAGGCAGTAAAATCTCGGACATTTCTTGTAGCAGTATTTTTTCCTGCTATACCTCCTCAGGCAAGGGAAACACCAGAGTAACCCCAATAAACTCAGTAAAAAAGACTTTTTTAAGAATAGAAAGCAGAAAAAGAAAAAGATCTATGAGTGTTGGTCTCAGAAAACACAATCCCCATTGCTCAGCCTGGACCTGGAAGAACAGGGAAGCAGAAGTCATTAGGAACTAGGGGTCCAAGGCCGCGAGGCAGCGGCAGGGCTGGAGATGGAGAAAATCAAGAGGAGCCTGTGGCGTGGAAAAGAGGAAGGCAACCAGGTGGCCCGTGGCCCCTGAACATCAGAGAGGAATCAGTCAGGTGAAGCACACTGAGGAGCTACAGGCATCACCGTCCAGCTCCTTGTCCCTCCAGAGTCCTCCCCGCGGTCACAGACACATTCCATCGTCTGATGCGCTTCTGTATTTAATGTTTCTACTCCCAGACTCGTCAGGGCTCGAGTCTGTTTCCATTTCATCCCTTTGCCTAACTGAAGGGCTAGCTAACTGGAGACAGAAGACGGACAAGAGGTTTCAGAAAGAAAGGGCTCCATACAGAGCATGGGACTGGAGGGCATACCAACTGCAAGGAGGTTGGGCTAGCGCGACCAAAGATCCTGCAGAGGGGCTCCGGCCACCTCCCCGCCGGTCTGCAAGGGATGACAGACAGGCGACAGACAAGCGGCAGACCGGCGCAGCTCCACAGTTAACACAAGGCGTTTGCACCTAACGCCAGGAACTCCGAAAGGAAGAAACCGAGGGAATGCCGGCCGAACAGTGCGCGTGGAGCCCGGCTGCGGCCCCATTTCACAGGGGTGGCCTAGGGATACAGAGTCCCCGGAGTCACATTAAGTCCGCAGGTTCTCAGAGCAGAGCCGAGGTGGGCAGGATGCCACAGTTCCGGGGGCTGCAGGCGCGGAGCGTACGGCCTGGCTCAAGAACTATCTGCATATTCCGGGGAGCTCGCAAGCCGTCCCCAGGAACACTGAGCAGAGGTTACGGGCCTGGGCTTTGGAATCCCCGCGCGCGTCTCAGCGCGCGAAGACACGCTAGTGTCCAGCCGGTACCGGTGAGCGCCCAACTCGCCAACTCCCGGACTTTCGCAAAGCTCCAGCGGGCGGGGTGCCAAGGAGGAGCGGGCGACACCATCTTGGCCGGAGAGGGGGAAGCGGTCTGCACCCGGACCCCGCCGCGCCCGGGCGGACAAGAAAGAGCTGCGGAAAGGCTGGGGCACGCAGTATACGGAGCTCAGCAGCCGATCTGAAGGAGGACGGCACGGAGCGAGCGGCTCTCTTGGAATCGGGGCGACGGGGACCGCGGGGAGCGTCCCCCGCGGCGGCGACGCGATGGCCAAGCCCGGCTCCGCGGCTGGCGAGCGGCGGAAGTGCCGCGGAGTAGGAGCGGGGCCGGCGCCGCGGCAGCTTCTCGTCGCCGAGCTGCTGCCGCCTCCGAGCGGACTGGCGGACGGGCGGACGCCCGGAGCTGGGGGCCGCGCGGCGGGACCGGCGCGACGCCGCGGGGCTGACCGGCCCCGATGAGGCGGAAGGAGAAGCGACTTCTGCAGGCGGTGGCGCTGGTGCTGGCGGCCCTGGTCCTTCTGCCCAACGTGGGACTCTGGGCGCTGTACCGCGAACGGCAGCCCGACGGCACCCCTGGGGAATCGGGGGCAGCGGGGCCCCCTGCAGCCGGACAGGTGAGTCCCCCAGTTGTCATGTGGTTGAGAACACTCTGTCCCCAAATTTACTTGTAGGTTTTGGTTCCTTTCTTCACCTTCCCCTGCCTTCTCAGAGTCAGCGCCAGAGACTCTTCTGTTCTTTCCATTTTTTTGGATGGGAAATTGAGGCTCGGAAAAGGACAGGGACTTGTCCAGGGTCCCTCACCCATTGGAGACAGAGCCAGAACTAGAATCCTGGACTCCTGCTACCGAGTCTGGAGGTGTTTCTTGCCGTAGGTTACCATCCTCCTTTCTGTCCCTGTCCGGGCATTCCCTCCCCACTTCTAGCCTCTCTCTTTTGGAGGATCCTGTCTGCATGCCCGTGTCCCAGGATAACTCCTTCTTCTGGAGATCCCAATGCTTCTGTTTGGTGTCCAGGTCTATTCTGCTTTCCCCCCACCTGCTGATCCCAGTGTTCCCTACTCAGGTCAGCCCCTTTCCTGTTTGCCCATCTACCTCAAGAGTCCCCTGGGCATCTCCGCTCTCCCTGTTTGTTCACCCTCCTTCCTTTCCAGCCTTATTTCTTTCCCAGATCCTGTGGGTCCATTGGGGGATGTAAAGATCTTTCTCCCCTTGGAGCTTCAGGCCTTAGAGGTGGGACAGGGGGTGAGCTCCTGGTCCTTGAGGGGCCTGCTGCCTCTGACCTTCTGGGGGTCCAGAAGTGAGGGCTCTGGTGGAGGGACTCCCCAAATTTCTGAGGCTATTCCTGCCCAATGCCCTGAAAATGGATTCTCTGTCCTCCTTGTCCCTTCTCAGAGTACCTGTGACCCCTCCAAACTTGTCCAGTATGATTAGGTGTGGTGTTCCTTGTAGCAAGGACTAGGATCTTAATTGTTTCTGCCTCCTCTGAACTCACCCATATATACGTGTGTTTGCATGTACTGTGTGTCGCACATACATGTGCACTGATAGCAGAAGCTCTGTCAGATCACTGCTACCCTTCCAGCCTCTGGCTTAGTAGGTGCCCATGAATGTATGCATGCGTGACTGTTTCACACAGTGGGGCATTTCACATTTGTTCAAAGATTTCCTTGTTCCCACAGGAAGCGGATAGTTTGTGCATAGGAGTCAAATTTGACTGTTGTCGGCAGGATGAGCATAGAGGCTGACTTTTAAGCTGATGGTTTTCCTTTATCTTCCCAATATCTGGCTGCCATATGGGCAGTGCGGCATCTCGAATACAGAGGATGGGCTCTTTGTGACAGGGCTGACCAGTTTCGAGTGTAGCCTGTCCCTCTGGTCATTGTTGCAAACTGTCCTGGAGGCCCTTGGATGATCCTTCTGCTGGAGCTCACTGTTTGACACTAAGGGGCTCAGCTCATTCCTAAATCCCTGGTTCAAACCCTGACAGCCAACTTAGACCCCTCTCCTTTAAATACTGTAATCATATGGGTTTTTCCTTCATGAGATCTTTCTTCTGTTCCCATCCTTTGTCAATATCAGGGCTAAGAGGTCAGGGTTCTGTCCTCTGCCCTACCATTAACTTGTCGTGTATATCCTTGAGCACCTCCCAGGTCCCTCTGTGAGCCTCCCTTTCTCCTTATGTACAATGTGGTTGTTGGTCCAGGTCCAGCATTCTGTGATGCAGTCAATGAACTGATGAGGAGTACACTGACCACTTTTCTTCTGGGGCTGGAGCCCCTTGTAGCATCTCTAGCTGTGGGGCCACCACACTGGACACAGCCCCAGGTCAAGGGGGGAGACTGCCCTGCCCGATGCAAACTGTCCTTTGTAATAGCCCTAGCCAGTTCTAAAATAGCTCATAACATTCTGCCTCTGCCTGGAGAAAGCCCTCATATTTCATTTGCTGTGGATGCCAGAGACGTCCTGATTCTCATTTTCTATAGACCCAGATGTGTAGAGAGAAGGTCATGGTTAACCGCCAGTTTGGCCTGAGCTTTCAAAGTAAATTACTCACTTGGGCAAGAGGGAGTTCATGGAGTAAAGCAGCCTTTTGGGAGGAGAGAGAGGGAAGCAACAGCTGGGCACTGCTTAGAGCCCTTAACTGAAATGGACAAATAGGCACATCTGGGAAGGTCTAGTTCTTGTTCATTTCTTTTGCTGTGCACGGTCATGAAGAGGAGGAGGAACAAGTGGTGAATGGGGTTTAGAGGTGGTGGTAAGGGTTGCCAACTGATTCTCCTTGCTTTAGAGAGAATCGCTTTGCTTCCTGGGAGCAGCAGAATGGAGCTGTTTCCTTAATGATAAGCTCTTCTAGGTGCTGTAGGATTCTGCATTCATCTGCTGCCTTTCAGGAACACCCTGCCAAATTTTCACACAGTCCCCTATTTGTTCCACTCTCCTGCAGATGCACTGCACTGGGCTTGGCCCCCAGTCCCGTGTTTGAATGTCAGCTGGCCTTGAGGGAAGAGGCTGAGTCCTTACAGAGACAGTGCTTCGTCCCTCGTCCCAGGGCACTGGAATGTGCACGGAACATGCAGGGCTGCTGTCTGGGGAATCTGGCATCTGGAGCTCACAGAGCTGCTTTCGACAGGGCTGACCAGTTCTGAGCTCAGCCTGCCACTCTTGTAATTGTTGAGAATTATCCCAGAGCACCTTGTTGATCTTTCTCACAGAAATAACTGCAGAGGCTCTGGAGGGAAGTCTGACAGGACTTTATCCAAATGAAAAATATATTCCTTGTGGGTTAGAGAGAAGTTTCTTTGAGAGTAACACATGCACTGTTTGAGCAGTTCTTTAACTCCTTGATTTCTCCACTGGATTGAAGAATACAGAGTTTTAAATTAAGAGCATTTATCATCTGCCACAATCTGAATTTTACATAATTGTCAGGTTGGCTCATTCTGGGCGCACCTCTGGAGCTGGGTAGGGCAGCTGATTTATAAGGGACACATAATGCTGGTAGGATTTCAGCATCCATCTGGTCAGACAGCTCAGCTGGCTGCTTTGAAAGCTGCAAAACCAAGCAAGGAAGGCCAGTTTCGAAGCCGTCCTCACTGTAATTTGGGGTTCCCTCCCATTCCTAGCCCCCATCTGCTTGACATCTTGGTTTGATTCTGCAGTCTGTTTCATATTCCAGACTCGGGAACTGGCCGTTCAAAACTTAGGCTAGGAAATACGACGTAGTCCCTCCCGTTTCTGAGCCATAGTCAGATCTCCTGTGAGAAATGACTTCATTGGATAATAGCAACTGTGGAATAGAAATCCGTGGGATAATGGAATAACAATGACTTAAGGTTCAAGTAGCAAGAGTTTTTTTTCATTGTGTCTTTATTTTTCACTGTAAACTTTATTCTCAGAACATCCAGCAATCAACACTTTTTCCCCTTTGACAGTCTTCCTGGTGGCAGAGCCTTACTAGTCAGAAAGTTAAGTGCCATAGAAATGTAGCCTTGGAATGATTTCCTTCATTTTCCACGGAGGGGCTGGGATCCTTTAGAGGGCTAATCACTTGTCTGTCTGCACGCTCAGCTGAAATCTGATGCCACAGGGGAAGGAGTGTTGATTTACCTGAGCAAATCTGGCTGCCTGTATTCTTTCTTTTATCCTGGACTCGTAGTCTCCCAAGGAGCCCAGCTGAGGAAGGCCTGGGAACAGAGGCCTGAGGTCTAGTTCTCTTTCCTTCCCTAAACTTACGGTGTGACCTTAGGAAAGTGGTTTAACCTCTCTGGGCCTTGGATTCCTTATCTGTGACTTGAGAGCTTAGGTTCAGAAGGGGAAAGGTAATTGTGTGTTATTCTGGTGCAGTCCCCCACTGGCCAGGGCAGATGTCGCCAAGCAATCTCTTTTCCATTAAGCCCAGACTTGGCCTCAGACTGGTTCTCCACACTGCTACTCAAGTAGCGTTAATGGTATGTTGAAACTCATTGGTGTTGTAGAGAATGGCTCCTGTTAGGACTTTTCCAACTGTAATATCCTGGATTCTGTGAGTTTGTTTGGAAGCATGTATTAGAAAGGCCTGGAGAGTAGCAGTGTGTCGAAACAGGCTTCCATGTCTAACCTGTCACGAGGCCACTACTTAGGGATGTGCAGAGCCTAATGCTGTCTCTTGGGCTGTAGTCTAAGGATGTTCAGCTTCTAATCTGTTGGCTGCAGTGACATGATAAAAAAAATAATGGAATCAGGAATGAAAAAGCAAAAGCCCATTTAAAAGATAACCATCTAGCTTGCTAATTGTACCTTGTCCACAATCAACTCTTACACAGAGATGGCATCGGAATCTCATCACTTAAACACTCCTGGAGGCAAACTTGGCGGCCAAACTTGGACGCTGTGTGCAGTGGTTTTCATTTTGCATATATCTGACGCTCTGTATTCCATAGATGTGTCAGAGCCAGTAAAAGGAGAGCTGTTGGATAAGGCTCTGCCCCAGGAAGACTGAAGTAAGAGTCTTGCTTCTCTGAAAACCACTGCCCTCGTGCACAGTGGAGTGGGGCAAGGAGGTAGCATACACGTGCCTGAGTCCCTGGGGCCAAGGAGTGCGTTGTGGCCTTCCCTCCCAGAAATACCTTAAAGTAGGAACCACATCTAGCACAGAGCATAAGGCTTGGCACTCGGAAGACAGTCTAAACGTGTTTGCTGAGTGATGAGACATCTCAGAGCAGGAAGGGGACTCCAGGAGTCATCTGATCCAACCCCCTTGTTTTATTGGTATGGAGACTGAGGCCCAGGAGAAGGGAAATTAGCTGACAGAGAGAGGCATGCAGAGCAGAACCCAGTTCTTCTCCAGATTTTTACTCTGTTCTATTAGGAATATTTTTTCCCTCCACGTACTACGATCCTTCTGTACCATCATTTCCCTCATGAGCCAAGATTATTACTCCCAGTTTTGGAAGCTGGTACTTAACTGAGACCAACTCTCCGCTGGAACTTAACTGGCTTTTAAATTTTCTTCCCCAAATTTTACAGGTTTAAAGCAGTAAAATGGATTAAATTTTAAGGCGGCAAAGGGATCCAGCAGGGGAATTGGAGGAGTTAAAGGACAGAGCTAATCTCAGTTTCCGAGCCACCTCAGATTC